AACTCCCAGGGAGAATGAATAAATGAATGAATGAATGAATGAATGAGCCCTGATCCAGGCCTGGGTGGGGGGATCATGGTGAACATGGACTTGTCAGCACAAGCTGGGATGAGGAAGTGAGGTGTGTGTGAGGGGTCTAGCTTGAGTGATAAGTGCTTCTCCCTCCTGCCGCATCTGAAATGCAGAGAGGAGCTGGGTGGGGTGGGAGAGTGAGGGTGTCTATTCACACTCCAGAAGGTACCCACTTTAGAGACAAATGAAAACAGATGTCAGGAGGATGGCCCTGGAGTCCCAAGTCCAATTACATTCTCCCCATGAACAATCGTGGCCCAAATCCATACCGGGACTGTCTTCTAGCAGGTTCTACCACCGTGCCACATCCCCTGACACCTCCCCCACCCCGACACACACACACACACACACTCGTGGGAATCTGTCCATAGCATTAATTTTTTTCCCCCTAATCCAGAATATATTTTTTTCCCATTGATTTTTTAGAGAGTGTGGAAGAAAGGGGGGTGGGGGGAGAGAAAAAAAACATGGAAGTGAGAGACACATCAATTGGTTGTTTCTAGCACGAGCCCTGACCAGGGCCCAGGATCAAACCGCAACCAAGGTACATGCCCTTGACTGGGAATCTAACCTGAGACCCTTCGGTAATGCGGGTCTGTGCTCTAACCGCTGAGCCACCGGCCAGGACATGGCATTAGTTTTCCAACCAGAGATGGGGTGACCTCTCTCACCACTGGGTCCCCTACTGGGGCAAGCACAGTAGGTGTAGCTGGGGTGGAAGGAGGCAGCAGGTCGGGGAGGCAGCTCTCTGGCTCCAGCCCAAGGCATCCAGATAACAAAGGCCAAAGTCAGGTGGATGGGGGTGGGCTGTGGGCCTCCCTAGAGGACCCCTGGCACCAGCCGTTGGCTGCCTGTCCCTGTGCCAGGACCCTGTAGAGTGCACCCGAGGCTTGAGGCTGGGCAGAGGTAGCAGCCTATTGGGGGCCCCCACAGGCTGCTCCACCCAGTGACTCAGCCCCACACCAGGCCTCCCCAGGGAGGACAATGGTGGCTTGTGGGTGCCAGGAAGGCCTCTTGGCAGGTGTGAGCCCCAGGGTGGACTGGCCTGGCCCCCAGGGAGGATCTCTCTGAGCCTCAGTTTCCTCATCTGGACAATGGGTTTAATCACCCAGGTATGTATGAGGACCTGAGAGTCAAATGTATAGATGGAAAGTGCCACATTTGGAACTAAAGGGGGAGCTCTGATGGCCCAGCTTGCCTTGGAGGACAGGGACTGGACAGATCAAAGATATCACTGTGCCCTAATGTTAAACACTAAACCTGGCACAAAATCGGTGCTCAGTAATTGCATGGTCCATGAATGGACCATCACCCACTTCTGGGGGTATGTCCAGGGCCACCCCAGGAACACTGGCTAGACTCTCTAGTTTAAAATCATAGCCTTAGGAGTCTGGCCTACCCTCAGCCCCAGCTTGGTCCTCCAGAAACCACTCCCAGGCTGGGGAAGCAGAACAGGCCACAGACCTGTGGGGTCAGGGTTGGGCCACCTGAAAGGGCTGGGGGTTATGGGGCCTTCACTTACGAGTCCCAGGTCCATTAGTGTGAAGAGGCCTAGGGATGCAGGCAGGAGCTGTGGGGGCCTACCCTGTACCCATCCCTGCACCCTTCTATTCTCCTGATGGAGAAACTGAGACCCAGGGTGTGGCAAGAATTTGCCCAAGGTCACAATGAGGTGGGAAGGATGAGGGATTCAAACCCAGACCCCAGGACTCCCCTTCCCAGGCCTGGGGCATGTGGGGGACTCTCTGGGCCAGAAGGAAGACAGTGTCAGGGTGAGAGTCAGCCTCCTTCAGGTGTATTAGGAGAGTGGCTTGTGACCTTTTTAGGAGCCCCTGCCTCTCTCTGGGTCTTCACCCCCTCATTCCTCCTTTTCTTCCTTCCTTTCAGCCCAGCTCCCTGGACTTCCTGAACTAAGGTTGACTCAGGGGCTTCAGGTGGAGGTGGAAGAGCATTGCAGCCAGGGGTTTACAAGGACAAAGGCCCAGAGGTGGGAATGAACCTGGCAGGTTCCCGAACAGTGAAGAAGCCCTGTGTCCAGGGCCCAAGGGGATGGTAGCCTCTTCCCAGGCCTGGAGGCAGTGTAACTATTTCTCGGGAGGCACAGGGAGCCATGAAAGAGTGTGTTAGTTAATTTATAATAATTATTACTCCTATAGGGTCTGTGGTCTTCAAAAGCTGAGGAGCCCCTGGCTGTGGGGGGAACTCTGGACCTACAAAGAGACAGATCACTGAGAATCAGAAGGCTTGGTCTGGCCTTAGTCCTGTTCAAACTCAGGTCCAAATTCCATATTACAGATGGGGAAACTGAGACCCAGCGAGTCAGAGGCACAGCGCAAGTCCCACGTGGGGCTCTCTGACCCTGAAACAGAGTTGGCCTTAGTTTCCCAGCCCGTGAAATGGGTCTGATTCGTTCGCCCGCTCGCAACACCCAGCACCTGGGCTAGCCCTAGGAACGCAGACTCGACGACGCCCGAGAGGCCGCGCGGGCGCCCACGCAAACCTGAGAATGAAACTGCAAAGCCCACCCCCGCCGTTTCTCGTGGCCTCTCTCTTGGAGAGTCCCGCCTCTTTCTTCGCTGTCCGCAGAGAGAGGGCGTGGCCTCTTCACGAATGGCCGGTGGCACCGCCAATCAGGCTCTTGCGCCCTCCGATTGGCCATTTCCGCTCTGTCTTATTTTTCCATCTCACGGTCCTTTCCCGCTGGCGTCATGGATGCTATGCACTCCAACCCACGTGCGCCTCCGCGCTAGAAGATAGTCCCTGTCCGCTTCCCGCACCGTTTGCCGACGGACCCCAGGGAAACCCCCACTCCCAGACTCCGGGCTTCGCGACGCTGCAGCCGCCTCCTGCGAGCGCAAGGGAGGTAGAACCGGGGGAGGGGGCCCACTCGGACGGTGGTGGCGGAGGGATTCACGGCGTCCCCGGACGGGGCGGACCGT